GGAAAACCACCTGGGGGAATTAAATCGCATCAATGAGGCTGCTGGCTGTTTATGGCGAAACTAATCCTTCATCTAATCCACGCGAGTGTTCTCAGAGCAGGTCCCATAATTGTAATAGAACGCCTAACTGCTCGTCATATCCTTTGAGCAATAACTATGTAGCTTTAAACTTGAAGCCCCGGGATAAAATGGGTGTATGAGAGCGCTCAGTAGTGGGACTGATTTGAAAAGGGGACAAACAAAACAAAAATGCACCGATTGGGTGCCAATTGAGGCTTCCCTCTCGGCAACAAACAGCCTTAGGCCGATGTCATAGTTTGAGAAACGAGCGATTCGCTAGCGAGTCGCTCGATTCCCAAACTGCGTTGTGCCATGCGAACTCGAAACGTGCACAGCGAACGAACTATGTACCACGGCTCAAAGTGGCGGGAACCAAGTTTATAGAAAGCCTGCCACTTTCAGACATCAGGGGCCGTAAGGTATGCTTCCCCGAATGGTTGCGGGGACGAAAGTCCCTTTAAATTTTTTGTTTTGAACGATACTGTTTCTTTATTTTCAATGCATGCTTACTTTAAGCTACACACATATAATGTAGGCCCTTTATCAGGACAATCCCAGTTGGGACTACAGAGAAAATTTAAAGGAACTTTCGTCCCCTAACCCTTCGGGGAAGCATACCTTACGGCCCCAGCTGCAAGTCCCGCCAGCTCCAAAAGGTCACTGTCACGTGACACTGTTTGAAAGTGGCGGCTTCCTTTGAACGTTGGGTCCCGCCACTATTGAGCTGGTACATCGTTCGACTCGCTGGTGCATCGTTCGATTCGCTGGTGCAACGTTCGATTCGCTGGCGCAACGCTCGGATCCAGCGATTCGCTAGCGAATCGCTCGATTCGCAAACTATGACATCGGCCTTAGGGTGCGGAAGGAGGATGTTGGAAGGGGTATTTCTTCAAAATGGGCGCATCAAGTGCTATCTTTCGAGCTTATACAAACCTTGTGCGAAGCAGTGAAATGCATACGGTTATTAGGGGTTGTCGCAAAAGTCTTTGGCATCACACTTGCAAATTGCGAAACTGCAAAACCTGAAGGTTGCTCTGAAATATCCACTGCGGAATGTGTGTGACGGCTGCTAAATGGTCTCTCCGCCACATCAGCCGCTGCATGTCGCAGCTATTATGACTGAAAAATCGTCTGAGTGGAAGCATTCTGTGTGCTCGATTGTTCTTGTTGCAAAATCAGGAAGTGCGTCAGTGCAAGCGATGAGCAAAGGGTCCAGGTGATGCGTTGGGGCTCCACACCTTCCTCCATCGCATGGCTGGTTGCCGATGTTCAGAAACGTGGGAAAAACCCACAAAAGGGCTCGGCTCGTTGTGGTCAAGTAAAGTTCAATGCTCGCCTGAATGGCGCCTGGCTGAGCACTTATTCCGAGAGGGAGCAGTAAAAGTGAAGTCAACATGGCGGCAAGGCAAAGAACCTCCGATTGTTGCTCTGCTGCGAAATGTTTTTGAAATTGATTCAAGAAAGAGAAGTCAAACCCTCCTCACATTGAATTATTTTTCGAAGTTCAAATACGAGTGCAGATTTTTCGATTTTTGCTGTAGAACACCTGCTCCGATCGCTACAGTACCTCACTGATTGTGGGTTCGAGAACGAAGAAAGGCGGATCCGCGTTTTCTCTTTTTTCTCCCCATACGCGGTACCTCTACAGTGTTTACAAGAAACATGTAGTTGGAAACAACAAGGTCTTTTTGCACGAATGTATTTCATAAATCCAAGAAGCTTACATGGAATCCCCAATTTCACTCAAATGCCTAAGGGAGCTCATTAGTCATACATCTAGCTTTCATTATAAGCAAAAGACAAATGTTCACATTCAAATGATTTAAGATTGAGATGGATTGATGAGTCACTTCTTCTTTTTGGATAGACACGAGATTGGTCTAATGAAATTCCCAAATTGTGCCGATGCAGATTTTTCTCCATTTGGAAGAATTCTCTTGCTATAACCAGTCCTACAGGATGGGCCATAAATATGCTGACAAAATAATTGTGGTGCATATTCAGTCAGATAGTTCGAAGTGGATATAAACCATAGCAACATCCAGCGGTGGGCTCAGGCTTTTCAAAGAGCAGCTTTTAGCGCTGTTTTGTGCGGTCTTTCAGCTTCAATACTTCCGCGTTAATTAATGCGATGCAATAAAATTGGAGGGCTTGCATCGCCATTCCCCGTCCGGTACTAAATCGGACAAATGGCATCACCATCAGAGATGAAATCCAATTCTTGAAACTCAGTTTAAGTCTTTTGCTGAATTATGAGCTTAAATTCGATTTGTTGTATTGTTTCTTCAAATAGCGACCTGATCATCAGGAGAAATTCGAGAGACATCCCCGGACTCCGTTTGCTTCAAGAAGAACTCTCGAATTTTGAAGCATCTAGCGTCTCTGTAACCCGAAAAGGTATGATGCTTCTAAATTATAAGTTTGTATTGCATGATTGTTACGCACGACTCTTCGCATCGTTTAACCTGCTGTATCTGTAACCTCTTATCATGGTCCTAAGTAAACTGCATTGGATACGCTTCTGCTCGCATTCACAGCCACCCTTTGGCTTCCGTAAGCTTCACAGCTCTATGTACATAATAGATCATAAATGGTCTTCGCTCGTTTCTTGGTTAACGTTTGGGTGATGCATCCTTCGGTACAGTAAATCTCGAAGCGAAAGCGGTCGGTGGTGCTTGAGTCTTGCTAGTTTCGCATGAAGTGGAGCAATCTACCCAACTTCTGACGGAGCTTTAATGGTAAACAGGATGAATCAAGTAATATGCTGTTACAAGTATGTGGACCAAATTCTGCTACGTGATCATCCCACCACTTCACGAACGGTCAAAGTTTACAGTAAGGGCAACGCTAGCATATGAGGCGAGCTAAGCTAACCGGGTCGGCATTCTTAGTTTTCCTCCGAACCTTGCTTATAGGGGCCTGGTCACGAACATTACCTCAGTTCTTAAGTGGACGCATCTGGCACCAATGTGGTGCCACAACTCACTTTTTTACAGCATTTCTTGACAATTTTTATCGTTCCAAATTGTCAGGGATGTTCGCGCAGCAGTTTCGGCTTCTGCATATCTATAAATAGTGTTCTACACTCTACCAATTAGCCTTGGTCTCCATCCAATGTTCCACGGGAACTAAAAGTTTTCCTTGGTGAGACAAATCTGATGATCAAATCAGGAGCTCTTCTCCTTGAGCGTAAATGGCTTTTCGAAGTCCAATCTTGTTATCATATCGCACCACACCCTCTGCAGAGCCTGATAGTAATGTAATTTATAGGAGATCTCGTTTAGCAGTAACTCTTTTTTCCAAGTTGCATTGGATCATGAGACTGCAGCCGACAGCGCAGGGGTTTTGGAGAGATTTGTTGCCTTGCTTACGTATCACGCGTTACGTGGGATGTATCCCTGTCTTCGAAGAGCTGTAGTTAAATGTAAATTGAGAAGCAACCATATCTGATGATCTTGCAGCTATCTCGCAACTACGGTATGATATGAATACTTGCAGAACTTCTCAGTATTTCAGCCTAAAATTACACTCTCTGTGTCAGTACCCTGTGAATGTCATCTACCAGCTCTTCAACTAAATCAAGTTATCACCTGTCACCTGTATCACCTGTCGTCCCGTTGATCATCGAATTGCTCGAGCGGGCGCCAGCAACGTCTCCATTCGTCCCTGTCGCGTGCAAGAGTTGTCCAGTGGACCCTCCTCGCTCGAGGGACACGAGTCCTTCATTCCTTTCGTTCAGAGCTTTCGTGAAGAAGTCTGACCATCGGGCCGGCGGTCGTCCAGGTGTTCGTTTGACGTCCCGAGGGATCCAGTCGGTAACCGCTCTGGTCCAACGGTCATCGCAAAATCGCATGACGTGTCCGGCCCACCTTATCTTCGATTCCTTGGCGAAAACGGCAGCGTCCCTGATCTTCGATCGTTGGCGTAGTTCGGCACTCCGGATTCCCCTCTGCACTTGCGTGTATAGGGTTACTCCTAGCATCGTCCTCTCGACAGCGCGTTGGATAACGCTGACCGCATGCTCGTCCTGCCTGCGCAGAGTCCAAGTCTCTGAGGCGTAGGTTAGGGCAGGAAGGACAGCGGAATCGAAGAGGTGGGCACGGAGCCGGATGTTCAAATTAAGTTATAGATAAAATTATTACCGAACACTGATCCATGTCTCGCGATAAGAAATTCATTCGGTCGATGCACGACTGGTTGGTTTCGTGCATTCCATGTCTGAAGGCTAAAACCTAATCCATACCCAGAAATCACAAAAGACAGCTCTGCAGATGCTCCGGTTTGGCTTATTCGTGAGGTTAAGAAACCACTACTAGGCCTATCAGTCGCCCTATAACGTACAATCTCACCTGGGTGCGCTATTCCCCTCAATTTTATCTTTAAATCCCGAATCACCTTCTCACGACTGTTTCTTGCCTCATCTGGGCGCTTTCGTTTACCCCAGAAGCGCCCCACAAAAATTTGACTGTTTCACATTCATGAATGCTCTGCTGAATATAAGAAATTGAACTCTCGTGCGTTACTGTCGCCAAATGCAGTCATTTGCACCACATATTGTCATTACCAGCAACATTTCCAGATGGATACGAATCGCACTCTTCTTGACGATCTCGTCTCGGACGAGTTTCCCACCCCTTCGACGTCGACGTTCATAGACGAATCTCCGACAGCTCGTGATCTTTTGATTGGCGACTTACCAGAGACTGACCCCAACAACATCACAGGAGTTGCGATAGACACAACTCCTCAAAACCATACCGTATTCGAAAACGTGTTCAAGACGATAGGTTTGTATTGATTTTTCAAATAATTAGAGGGCTGTTTGTTAGGGACATTCAAGCATTTGTAATAATGAAAACTCGTGCGTTCGGTGAGAATCAAAAAGCTCAGTCGTGCAGCACCAAGCCGTAGCGCGACTTCGCATCTCTTGTAGTTCAAATTTCCGCCCAACTCACATGTTGCATATCACGAGCGATTGCGCTTGTGTTTTTGTATTGATTCAATCCAAATCAAAATTCGACCCATGCGTTGAAAATTGCAAGCGAATGAGGCAGGGCATTTTGACCAAACTGGTTGTCTCGAATGATGTAGTGCGGATTTATGACTCGCTTGTTCGGTGATGACTGGCCTTAGCAACAGGATCATGGAGCAGTGCTGGTATAATGTTTACCCCAGCATGACTGTTTTGCAAGTGAATGCATTACTCACCGGTAACAGGTCTGGAATAAGCAGCCTCAATGGCATTTCAATGACGCCTTGAGCTTCTCTCCTTTGTTGGTCCACATTCACTTTTTCCCCGGTCCCTGGAATTTTCTTAACCGAATTATAAGAACTTCTAGAGACCCCCGCTCACCAGAGATAATGCTCCGCTCATCATGGGCAATGCCTATGCTCCAATCAGTTGTCCGTGTGCTTCATGTATTGTTCTTCTTCCTGCCACTGTACTGTTCTGCAACCTCAAATGAACTTGTTGCCGTGGGCACCGTGCTTTCCGTTGCAAGCTACACCCCCAATGGGCGTAGCTTACCCCATTTCAACTACTTGTTCCATATGTGGACTTGCTTGGCCCAAACTCTAACGGCCCCAAACTTGACTCGGCCTCTAAAAGTGGGTTCTCAGGTAACACCGAATTTCGTGAGAAGAGACAGACGGATGGACAGATAGACAGACGATGCGCTGTTGAGTTAATAGGATAGCAAGGGAATCCTAGTGACTTTACAATGCTGTTATTGGTTACTGATAATATTCCCATGTCATTTTCAGAGTCACTACTGGACGAAAGCAGCTGGGTAGTCTACACAATTGTCGCTTTTGTTTCTATATTGCTTATCGTGGTCACGTGCTCGATTGTGGTCTGGCTGGTGAAACATAAAAAGTGAGTTGTCAAATTTTGACCGAAAGCGAAAAATTGTGAGGTACACGTTCCTCGTAGCATTTGTAAATGGTAGCTCCCATACTTCGGCTCTTTCTTTCAGTTTCACGAAATCGGATTGATTTACCCATCTCCTTTATTCATCAGCAAATTTCTCTAAGTATTCCCAGTTACGAAGGAATTATGAATTCGTGATGAAAGTACTTTTTAATGTAACATCTGTGAGGAGTTATTAAAGGAATCTTGCGCGGAAAATTCTTGCACTCTTTCCTAACATGAATATGTCAGTTGTGATCACTGGAAATAGCACACAAAGTTTCACGCATGAAGATTCGGTTTCTGAAGAGAAACAAACGTACAAAAACTACACGTTATGGACCATCGAAGGACCAGGAGGCAGAGCCAGGCGAGGCATGGAAAGAAGACGGCGTTTGGCCGGCTACGTACCAGGCGACGCAATGAGAGAATCGGGTTAAAGCGCGCGATTTCGGAGAGTGGAGACAAATCGATCGATGGAATAGGATGGAGTAGAAGTGTAAGATGTGAATGCAACGAAGCAGAAGGCCAGAAAGAGCTTCTAGTGAATGCACTCCAAGAACCAAGTTTGAGCATCCCCGTCGCCAGCATTCGTGAAAGACGTCCGTGGGCAATTCGAACGCGTAGCAGCCTTTTCGAGTTTTCGAATTTCTAATCAAAACGAAAGCAATACTTCAGTTCTTTTCACTATTATCGTGGATAATGAGTCTCAAGCCAGTGATTTATGGCTGAAATAGAATCATGATTTTTCCGCGCAAGATTCCTTTAAGCTACTATAGCGAAGTTATGGAAGCGTTTGGGTTATGCATATTCCTCAACCTCATCCTACTTATTCCGATGGAGAGCCACGTTCCTCAGTCAGCATTATTCAGGAAGGGTTCACGAAATAGTCGAGATCTTTAGGACCATTCGCTTTTCTTTCAGGAGAGTTATCCAGCAAGACAACGATCCTTTGACTAGCACTTATGATGGTGGCTTTTCATTTGAAGAGGTTATTTTCGGCTTTTGTTTGGGAGTTACATTTCATAGTGGGAGTTTCTCATTACTTTCGAAAAATCTTTGGATTAGGTTGAGCTCGTTTTTACAGGTGTTTTGCTGTGCTCCACCTGCTGACAAGCAAAGTCAGCTTCAAGGCTCGTCAGAACTCAGCCAGCAACTTGGATCCGTACAAGCGACCTCCGCTGCCACCAATCGGAGCGAAAAATGGTCAGTTTATTTCATTCCACAACAGATGCATTTTCATCGCTAGGCAATCGAGAAAGTGTCGACCGTGGTACTTGGCCTTTCTTGACTTGGAGAAGGCGATCGACGGTCTACCCTGAGGCAGATACTATGGAGAGCGCTCAGAGAACCGAGCGCGCCAGAAATCACCTTGTCTGACTGATGAGGGACATGTACGATGGGGCTGAGGCAGTAATATGCACCCCACATGGCTACACGGATAAGGTGCCATCCCTTCAAAAAACGAGAAGTGCGCATGGGTGCAATACACCATAAGTCGATGATTCTGTTCATAGTGATAGCTGATTTTGGTAAATGATAGTTGTAATTAGTGACAACTGATAGAATACAACTGCAACAGGCTAATCATTTCATTGACAGAAAACATTTACATTTTGTGGAGGCCGTCGTCACTTGTGGTGTGTGTATGGTCTGCACCCGACGCTCTTCTCGTTTTGCTACACCGAGGCTCACCTCTGAGCTCCTTCCTCTTCCTCCTGACAGTAGGTGTCATAGTGAAGAGACTACTAGATGGGTCACTGAGCACCATCCTCTACGATGTCGACATCACCGTAATAACTTCGTATAGCATACATTATACGAAGTTATACGCGAGAAAGGGCCACAAAGTCTTTGAAGAGGTGGTTCTGGCGAATGTCAAGAAGACAAGTCCCGAGCTCTGAAGAGGGATACAGAGCGGTCAATTTGTGGACGAAGAAGAAAGCTGAAGGCAATTTCCGGTAATTGAGGAGCTATTATAGCGCGCAATGGTAAAGTGGACCATTGGCAGTCAAGGCACGGATCATCGCTGCATGGATTTGGTAGGCAGTCATTTGGAACCCACTACGATTGATGCTTCAGAACGGTCAAAGGGAAACTTTACCGGAGCAGTGGTAAGGCGTGCGATGCTATACGGCAGTGAAATCTGACAGTGGACAAGAACATGAATGGCAGTCTCCCGCCGAACAGAGTGATGATCGAGGGGGGCCTGCTGCCTGGAGCGCACAGGACAGGTCGAAAAGATCGTTTCTCCCGCGTTTCTTCACCTACGATTCTCGTCGCCACATATTAATTCATTGTGAAAGACACAACAATTCTATCGATACCGGTTCCTTCAGTAAGGGGCCTTTGTGAGTATTCGTGAGAATAGCAGCAATACCGATTTTAGACAGGAAAGTCTCCAAAAGTTACGGGATGTGACATGCTTCACCTTTTTTCCTTGACTAATTAATATGGTGCACAGCTGTGGATAGACATGGACATAGTGGGAAGAAGCAGGTGTGAAGGAAGAGTAGAATTTGACGGATGACAACATGGCTTAAAGGAATCTTCCACGGACCATGGACCAGTGGGCGGGACCGGAAGTGGTTTTGCGACGAAATGCATGGTAGGTACGGATCCACGTTCATGGGAAGGTTTGAAGTGAATCCTGTTCACGTTCGTGCGTTCGACACGTGGGATCCGTACCTACCATGCATTTCGTCACAAAAAAAACTTCCAGTCCCGCCAGTACAATCGGGCGTGAGATTCACGGACCATTGCGGACCAGGTATGGGTAAAAGAGCTCCACCAAGGGGTAAGAAATTCAGATTGCCAAGAAAGGTTTTTAGAGTTGGCGAACGCAATCACCTACTATTGCACCGGCCGAAATTCGTCGGGCACCACCAAACGTGGAGATTCACTTCAAAAGGAAGAAGCCGTGAGATTAGCAATCGTGGGGGAAAACGATCACATTGATCAATGAACAGCGTTCGTCAGAAAACACCAACGCCTCTAGCTATAGCTACGGCGCTATCTCTAACTTCGCAACGAAATGAAATTGAAAAGGAAATAACTATGATTTTTATGGGCTTTCTTCCTAAAAAAGGGTTTCGACAGCAGAATGAATTTGCTTTGTTGCATGCTCCCCTCCACAAAACTACATATGAAAAGTGTGTAGCAATTGTTTGAATGGAAGAAAATGTGATTATTGTTATGGATAAGGTATTTAGATACAACCACGAAACTAGCAGGTGAGTGAGAAACTGTGACACTTTCAAACCAAACTCCGATCTCTGAATGATTCTTATGCTTTCCAGCACAAAAATAGCACAAAAGGGGAAAGCATTGAAATAAATTTCTTTACAGTTCCTCGGCTTCCACTTCCGTTCTCACTTTATTCACATTGAATGAGCTTCGATAGCTCTGTAGAAAAGCGTAAAAGTGTTAATCATGTGACCTTAGGGTGATAAACACCACATAGTCACCGATTTCGTTTCTCGAGTAGATTCGAATGTATTTTCGTTTTGCTGTTGAATGGAGCTGGGTTGTCCAAAATATTGCGAGGGACGGGCAAGAGAAAATCGGTGTTTTTTCACTACTTCTTCTTCTTCTCCCTAGCGTTAGTCCCGCGCAGTCGCAGGGTCCGCTGTCTTTATCAGTCGTCGCCACTTTGCTCTGTCCAGGGCATCTTCTGCTGTGGCCATGACTTCACTTAGGTCCTTCTTGATCACGTCCCTCCACCTCTTCTTTGGGGCTCCTCGCGGTCGCTTGCCTTGCACTTCGAAGTCCATCGCTGTTCTTATCGGATGATCCTGTGGCCTCCTTAGCACGTGCCCATACCATCGCAGTCGCTGTTCCCTCACCTTCAGCTGGACAGGGGCAGTCTGCATGGTGCTCTTTCCACTACTATTAGCACACAAACTACACATCGCCGTATAGAGCCCCTTAAGATGAGTTGAAATATGGGATCCGTTTTCCATTCCGCTGCACTTGCAACGAGTTATCTTTCATCGTTTTTGGATCCAATTTCTTCCTGCGACCCCCGAAGATCAATCGCCAACGCCGATCAATAGCGGCTCAAAGCTCTACCCAGACTGGCGTGAGTGAAATAGCCAAAGCTACAGAGATTTGAAGTTAAGGCTCACAAAACGACCTCTATGATTTTATATTCCTGCTCCTAAAGACTATTCCAGATGTGTCGACACTGTAACATGGGAATCTCCCCTTCTTGGGATGTTTGGTAGACTGTTTGCAGCCGCCCCAATTTCCATTTCACCCCAGCTCTGGAATGTGGACAAGTTGATCCTATTCGTGATCACTGACACACTATGCTATCGTCTTATCACTCTAGATCATGCATTCGGGTTTGGGCGGCGATGGAGTAGGGGCGTTGGGGTGAAGTGGCACCCATGGCCGGTTTCACACAGTCTAAGAACCCTCACCTAAAGTAGAAAGGGTATGAATTCAGGAAATTAATATTCGGATGAACAATATGTGCAAAAAAATTTGTTGGATTATGGAAAAGTGACCTAAAGATCAAATTACCAGTACCGATTGATCTGCGATCGGTTGTCCTCACATTGGATTCCCACAAAGGATCATCAGGGCATTTGTTTGATTCCATGTTCAGAATGTAGAAATTAGTTACTTACTACGGCTCATGGTATTGAGGGCACATCGTATCTTCCACACATGTCTAGTACCAAGAACCGAACATGGACAGATAAAAAACTCAGTAGATATAGGCTTTGAATTTATTAAGCATGTTCGAGCGCTTTCCGCTATGGCCTTATCCACGAGTTCGAAAATAAAT